GGTCAACTTCCTATCCGGTACTTGGGTCTCCCATTGTTGCATAGAAGGCTTCGAAAATCAGATTACTCTCCCTAGTTGGATAAAATCAGATGCAAAATTCAGAGCAGAACGGTGCGATAGTTAAGTTTGTTGGGCAAAACAACTAATCTCTTCGGTGATCTATAGCTTGGTTAAATTTTGGTGTTCAGAATTTGTCTTGCCAAAAGCTTGTCTGAAAGAGATTGAAAAGCTCTGTTGCAAATTTCACTGATTTGGAAAGGCAGACAAAAGAGCTCAGGCGAAGGTATCTTGGTGTCAAATCTGTCTGCCAAAATCTGAAGATGGTCTTGGCCTTCGTGATTTTTATGTCTGGAACAAGGCTCTAAACCTTAGGCTTATTTGGCTGCTCTTCTGGTAGTGGTTCTCTATGGGTTTCTTGGAATAAAGAGCACCATCTCAAACGCTGTAATTTTTGGATGGTTGAAAGCCGTCCAGAACAGTCTTGGATTTGGAGTACAGTCCTCTCTCTTAGACCTCTGGCTGTTCTCTTATTGGTGGTCGAATTGGGTGAAAAATATGGAATGTCTAGCTTCGAGTTACTGGTGGGACGATTGGATGGTTCACGGATCCTTTGTAGATTTTATTGGTACTGATGGGCCTTGTAAGATGGGACGATTGGATGGTTCACGGATCCTTTGTAGATTTTATTGGTACTGGTGGGACGATTGGGATGGTTCACGGATCCTTTGTAGATTATATTGGTACTGATGGGGCTTGTAAGATAGTAATCAACATTGCTGCAACTATGGAAAACGGTTGTGTCTCTGGTGGATGGCTAGTACCTTCGGCAAAGTGTAGAACCCATGTCATTGCTACTCTGCATGAGACGCTTATGCAACTACCACTGCCAACATCTTCCAATGAGAGTGACGTCTACACTTGGGGAGTTCAGGGTGCCCACCGTCCATCATTTTGCATAAGAAGCATTTGGGAATTCTTGAGGCTCACTGGTCCTTTGGTTCCTTGGAAGAAAGTTGTTTACTTTACAGCTATTGTCCCTAAACAAGTTTACCACTTCTGGGTCACTAACTTAGACAAGTTGCCTTTGCGTATTCATCTTCTCCAGTGGGGTATTTGATATTGTCTCTACTTGTTGTCTTTGTGGTAATGCTCCAGAAATGAGAGACCACATCTTCCTGCATTGCAAAATTTACGCTCGGTTATGGGCCATAGTGCTCCCTTGTCTCTCACAATCGTGGTTTCAACTCACCAATTGGCAACTATTTATTAACTAGATGTTGATGCCATCGTCTGTTCTGTCTTCTACCCTGAAACGCCTAATAGTCCATGCAGTCATTTACCTCCTATGAAAGGAAAGGAACAGTAGGCTTCATCAACGGCTTTCAGAATATGCTCCCCACCTTTTTTGCAAACTCAACAGAATGTTAAGGGATGCTCTCCTCGCACAGCTCAACTCTAGATGGTGCCAAAGTTTACTTTCCTAGTGATTCAATCATGCCTAACTTGTTATGAAGTTTCCGTCTATAGTTCCAACTGTTTTTTTAAGTCATTTGTAATTAACTGTTTTTTTAAGCCATTTGTAACTTAATGTTAATCATAAGTTGTGTTAAATCCTTGTTCTATTTTTTGGTATATATTCACATTTTATCCAAAAAAAGATATTTGAAAAAGTGAAAAAGGAGACGAAAATATTTTTTCTAACAAATCAGTTCTTCCACATGTTATTCTATAACTAGCTTGATTTACTTTTCTGATTTAAAATTATATGGTTAATCGATTGTTATTGAAATTATTAATATTTTATTTGCTAGGTATTCTTGTTGAGTATCAAACACTAATAAGCAAGTACAAATCTCAATTTTCAATTATAAAAGAAATAATCACTTTTGTGGGAAGTCAGAGAGCAAATTACTGCATCAAATTAACTCTGAACCTCATTGTATTTGAAAACACAGTCATAAAGCCGGCCTCCAAGAAACTCTGCTACTTCAATATGCTTCACCTGCATAACAAAAGGATGCCACATGAGTAAGGACAAAGAAGCAAGAAACACTAGAATATTTCTTTTCACAAGTAGTACATAGTAAAATTACTACCATTCCGATCTTGAGAGAATCACACTTGAACTGAGCATAAAGGTTAGTCTCAATACCACGACCCTGATCATGAGTACAGCCAACAAGCCACACAGTTAACAAAACCAAGACTAGTTAAAAGACCTTTATAATTGCGCATCACTTTCACACTATAAGTTGGGACTTACCATGCCTTCTATGATGACCAAGTCTGCATCAGATGAAATTTCAGCAAGTTCCTGTGATACTCTCGACAGATCTATAACCTGAAACATGTTTTCAAGAGGGATAAGATAAACAAAACTTAAGAATCCAATGAATGAAACCCTATTTCTCTTGCTAGGAGCTTCAAAAGTCTTACGGCTAAGTCGTTCCCTGAATTTGCAATCACAAGTTTCGAAGTATTAACGCCTATCAGTTGGCCATCATCATCCTTCAACTGGTAAATCATGACTTATAAATCAGAATTACCTTCTTTTAAAGTATCAAGGCTCACTTCATTCAGTTTACCTGTGACAAGATCTCTGTAAGCTCGGTATATGTTACATCGTTGATAGCTGGCAGATCGTTAGCAGCCAGCACCACCTTCAAATGGGGAAAGATAAAGATGTGGCACAGTTTTAGAATATGCTCTGCATCAATAGCCAAGAAAATCTTTAAAAAAAAAGAAAAAAAAAGAACCTGCATTCCTCGACGAAGCATTTCTCTTGCAAACGGCAGTATACCCAAAATGATGTCTGCCCCAGAGTTGTCAACAAAAACCACTGCCTGTCATGAAAAAGAGAAACCAAACAATGGGTTTTGTCAAGCGCTCTCCATATCTGAAGTATCAACAGAAGCAGCAAAAACAAAGGAGTGACCTTCTTCCAGCGATTCTTGATCCAGTTGGCTTGGAAGCTGTCCAAGTCATCAATGACCCATGGTCTGGGAACCAAGTTCTGAGAGCTAGCCAAGAAAGATATACCATCTCTTGAAAACGCCTCAGCAAGCTTCAAAAAGACAAGAGCCCATTAGTGACGACATGCTTCTTGTAAGAGAAACTGGCGTTTGTACATGAAAAGAGATTACCTGCGCAGAACCCAGATCGAAGATGTTACCAGCAAACATCCCTCTCACCAAATTTTCTAACCGTTCTCCTTCATCTTCAATAGCATCACTCAGACTGACAACTTCAGGAAACAAAGAGATAGCCTTTGCATTCTCTTCATCCTTTATAAATCCATTATAAAAATTTTTAACTTATCGAACCAGAGAGGTAGAGAGTATAAGAGAGCTGGTGCTATCTAAAAACCTAAAGAGCTCTCATACCTTCACTTTCTTGAATATGTCCAGAAATCCTAACTCTCTGAGAAGATGCTCACGTGCTCTGCCGAGACTCTGTAAACAAACCATAATGCTCCATGTAAACAAAGCTCATCACTCCAGTGATCATACAATTCAAGGGTCCTTAAGACTTACAACGCCATCTGGTGGCCCGCCATGGCTCTCTGGATCTTTCTTCCAGTCTTCTAGAATCCCCACATATCTTCCATATTCAAAGTAAGATTGATAACTTTAAACGCAAATCGAAAGGGCTTAAACACTATCTCTGAATAACTTACAATTCAAGGTTACTTCTCAAATTATGATAAAACACACACAAAACAAGCAGGACACATAGCTCGTGTACCTTATGAAGGTGACACTGGCAAAAGATTTCTTAGGAACCAAACCTTGAGCAAATACCAAATACATACAAAAAGGTACCTTTCTGCAAATTTTTGAGCTCTTGCAGGAGCATCTGGAACAGTTGTATCGCTTTCTGCACGTTTCCTGCAAATCAAACAGCTTTAGAAGTTGAGATTTATGGGAATTTTTTAGTTAACCTGCTTCCTATAAGCTTTCAGAAGCAACCTATCGTTTCCTCCTAAGTCATAACCCAGGATAAGTCAACGCTACAACTACCAACGATAGTTTTAGACTTCTTAATATTATGAGGCTAACGAAAAGCAATTCTTGATAACAATATCAGAGCTTGATCTGACTTGATGAACATGAATAATCACTGGCTAACAAAGAAAATAAAAGAGCGAGAGAAAAAGAACTTGAAAGAAGGGATGGAGTTGGCGAAGACGTTGATCCACGAGATCTCAGTGGAAGTTGCAATCTTGGGATTATCACAAGGGAATCTGTAAGGAATGGTGCAAGCCCTATAGTTTACTTCTATTGGCTTCGGTATTAGTGGAAACGGTACCATCTCCATATCTTCGCCTGTGATCTTCCTTCACACGATTAAATGTCTTTTATGTCTGAGCTAGACTGCTATCTTCACCACCACACGGTTAAATGTTGGGAGACTGGTGTCTTCTGGCTTCCAGTTTTTGTTTTTATATAAATCAGATAGTAGGCAAGTTCCAAACTTAGTGGTGTTTAGTTTTCAGAACGAGAGCAGACAGAGATCAGGAAGTAGTTACAGCTTATGGGCTTCAAAGACATGGAAAAAGTGACACGAGTTGGTACCGAGTTGCTATCTTTTACCCAAAAAAAAAAAAAAAAAACAGTGACACGAGTTGTCTTTCTAGCCAATCCAAGTGAACATTTTTGAGTCGAGTATATAAATCAGAAAAATGCTCAAGTTGGACTGGAAGATGCACACGTCTCTAATGTTCCTGATTTTAGACGAGATATTTGATCAAGCAAACTTTTCGGAAACTGGCATGTTTCACTATGACTGGGGCAAAACGTCCATGTGAAATTGTTAGCGACTGTAATGGGTATCTGTTGCAGTGAGACAGTGACTCTGTAGCATAAAGAAGTTCCGTACGCAGGAGTTCACAGTTGAAATCATCTGGAAACTTATCATGTAGTATGACTACTACACCTAGGCACCGTGACAAGCAAAATGAGTTCTCTCCATGCGGGTAAGTTAGTAGTCACTGATCTAAATTCAACCCAACCAATCAGTTTATTTCAGATTAATCACAAAGAAAGAATGTTCAAACTAAAGGAAGGCAGAGCACACAGATATTTCCTTGAGAGATATACCATGTTTGTCTGCAGGTCCAGCAAATCTAACAAGACCATAAAAGAATTCATCTTTACGGAACATAAGATCTACAAACCAACCTTGAGCCGCCTTCATTTTGTGTTCCACTAGAAAGGCCCTAAGTAAAGAGATCCAGCAACCCATCAAACAGTACAATGGACCACAAAAATGTAAGCTATAGCAGATACATCATCAAACAAACAAACCCTAAGCAAGAAACACTGTAATGTGATCATTTCTTGGCCTTGGAGAATCTCAGGCACCGATACTTCTCACCACTCACAGTAATCTCGAGAGCTCCGTCTTGATTATCCTGGTTCGACGCCGTCCCCATGAGAACGCTCTTCTCCTTCTCCAGATTCTCTCTTTCCATCTTCAACCTCGCTTCCTGTCTAGCAATCTCCGTCTGTATCATCCCAAAAAATATCAGAATCCCAACAGTTGAATTTCTCAAAACCCTAACAATTCAACTCAAGAAAAAGTAGATACCTCGCGGCGAGAGAGCTCAGCTTTCCAAGCGGCTTCTCGTTCAGCGACTTCGCGCTCTCGCTCCTCGATATAGCTCTGCATCTCCCTCTCCTTCATGATCCGATCTTGTATATCGGCGTCAAGAGCTTGCTTTAGCTCCTCCACAAACTTATCCACCACCAGTTTAATCCTCAGAGACATTATCGTTATCCGCTTCTACACATCAATAAACAATCTATTTCTTTCTTGGACCAACTAACGATTTTCCGATTTCTGATTATGCCGGCGGTGAGAGTGATGGGACAAGAGACATTCACGATTGGTGGAAAATATTTGGGCTCACACCTTATTAGAGGCCTTCATAACTTCTCACACTTGTGGGAGAGGATTTTTGATTTATTATTTATTTTTTGGTCAATCAACTTTAGGGGTTTTTGCCAAAACTAACCCACAACTTGGTTTTAACCCCAATACTAGACCCCAACTTGAATCAAATGCAAATCTAACCTAAAAGGGCTATGAAATTACAATATAGTCCTCTGTGACCAAACAAAAAAACAGAAGACATTTTTACGAATTATTGGGATCATTCAACAGACTCAACCCGACTCAATGAAAAGTCTCGTCTGGACGACTGAAATGTTAGTTGTCTGGAAGATTGAATCTTAAAAATAATTTATAAATTCTGTAAAAAATATTTTCATGAGTGAAAAATTAAAAACATGTAATTATAAACATTTATAAGTGATATAAATTAAGAAATGATAAAATTGATTTTTTTTTAGCATAGATGAGTGGAAGTAGTGAATCATGATATTCTTTGGTTTAAGGGTTTGGCAAACATATGTTGTAGTATTGTATGTAATCTTAGGGTTAGATTTTGAAAAGATGAAATGTTTTTTTGAAAAAATTAATTCGACCTCTATGTGTTTATTTCTGTGTATAGTAAACATTTTTCAAGTTTAATTTAATGTTTCGAAGT